GGCGAAGGCATTGTTCTTTCTCCTGAGACAGCTCCACGCAACACGGAACGCAAATCGAGTAAAAGCAGTGAAACGTCCGAGATGGCGGTGAGATGGGCCAATCGACCCGAATACACCGAACAAGACAAGATCCGCAGGCAGAGGAGCAAGGGTCTTCGCGACGCCCATGCTGCTGCCCGAGTCGGCTCTGCTCTCACAGCGGCTTCCTTGAAGCATCACGACTCCAACTCTAGTCTCGGCAGAAAGGAACGCCGCCGGAACAGTGGCTCCCGGAAAAGTGGCTCACGCAAGAGCACCGAGAGTATGAACTACAACGAAACCGAACTTGTTTTCCAGAAGCACAATGTTGCGCCAATGCCAATGCACAGCGAGATTGACTCTGAGTTGACCAGAAACTCGTTGCTCTCTGAGCGAACGGCAAGTCCCACTCCCGAAAAGCAGGCGTCCTACTTCGACGTTGCTCGCGGATCACCGAGGCAGGCTATGTCGCCAGCTTCTCGCACCCCTACTAAAAATTCCGTCGACTCGCGTTATGAGCTTGGAATGCGCCATGGTAATCAGTCGCACCATAATATCTCGGTGCACAGTGCCTCGGAGCGTGACCTACATCACCAGAGCCAGTCCCCCGGAACTGACGGTGGTAATTGGGCAATTGCAGCTGCAGCCGCAGCTAATCTCCTTGACGCCGCTCACCCCGGACATCACGAAGTGGAAGGTGACTACCACGACGAGGGCACTGGCCGCGGATTGAGCCCCATCCAGAGTATTGCGAGTGATCATACCCAGACTCACTACGACAATTACTCGGTTCACGGCGAGCAGCAAGTCGACGGAAAACATGAGATTGAGCCTCGACTCTCCATTGACACTCTGTCATCCGCCCCCAGTACAAACCTCGCGAGATCCACCCGCCAGGGCACCAGCTCACACAGCCAGAGTGGAATTTTCAAACAGCACAGCCAGGAATCACCTGGGCTCGGATACGAACATTCGCGCCAGGGCTCCCAAGACAATGGCTTCTATGGCTATGACGAGCAGAGCAGACGCTCTGGTGACGACGGAGACAGCGATGTTGACTTCATGGATAAAGTCAAAGAAGGCCACCCTGTGACTACCGGCGTTGCTGCTAACCCTCAATTTATGCACCCGATAGCCGTCGAATCCGCAGTCGCCTCCTTGATGGATCCCTCTGTACTTGAATCTCAGATCTCATCCACGAACCGCTCGCAAACCGATCTGGCTCAACAACCACGAAGCCGAAGCCCCGAAAAGGCAGGAAGCGAAGTATACCGCGGAAGCCCCTTGAAGCAACGCCAGGATGCTTTCAATGCCGATGAGACCTCCTTCCCTCGCCGCATGGGTGCCACATCGCCCCCACAGAGTGTTACCCAGTCCCTCGAGGACATAGACGACTCTGCTATGATGGCTGACAATGCCCCGCGTGAAATGGAGAGTCCTCACGCGGATGCTGAAAGCCAAGAATCGGAGTCTGAAATCAACACCAATCCGTCCATTATACAGGGCCCCATCGGTGGTGTCGCTCAGGCAGATCACTGGGGATACGATTCAAGGTCTCCGCCGGCGGATCACTACTACGATACCCAGATCGGTGGATCTAAGGGTCTCAATGCTGAGCAGCAGATAGGACTTGATGCAGAATACTACCAGACTGCCCAGAATATCTTCGGTGGTGATGACTACTCTGCCCATTCTGGCGAGAACCACTCTGGCGAGAACCGACCTCGGCCATTGTTTGGTACACCTCCTGGTGCCAAGGATGAAGGCTATGTTTCGGCTGCCAACCCCATGTCTCCCAGCGTCGGGACCCCGAAGCAAGGTAGTCGAGGTCTTGCGGGTGCGGGTGCCGCTGGAATGGGTAGTTTCGATAGTCCTACTGGGGCAGACGATCCTTTTGTCTCTGGCAATGAACGCCACTTCAGTGGCTACTCTCATGGTGTTGGTTCGCCACTATATGACAGTGCCACCGGCCGAGGTATCGAGAGAATTCAATCTCAGGATATTGTGGCTCTTATGGACCATTTGACTGTTCGTGATGCCCAGCGGAATGCCAGAGATACTGAGATTCTGGTTACTCTAGTTCGAAGTGCTGCTGAGATGCGCACCTCCTTCGAGCAGATGAAGAAATTCATCGCCGACCAAGATGATCTCATCATGGACACCAGCGACAGGGGACATGAGCGGACTCACAGGGCGCTTGGTGGTCCCCGGCCATTGCCCCCAAGCGCTTCCCGAACTCGGCAGCTGAACACGGCTGACGAGGAAGACAAGCGGAAGAGCATCTTCAAGCGTGCGCTAAAGGGATTGAGCCTCAAGTCGGGCAGCGATTTGACCAAGATTGAAGGCATGCTCGAGCAGCTGCTTGGCGAGGTTGAAGCCCTGCGATCTGGACAAGAAGGCTTCAGCCCTCACAGTGTCACCAGAATGGGAAGCATGGAGCCAAGTGGATATGAGACCCCTGGTCCAAACGGAGCGCCTGCTGAAACGAGCCGCTCTCCCTACGGGTCCGGCTCTTCTCGCCCGGCTAATGGACAACGCAGAGATTCGGACCAGCGAGTCAGCACCGTCCATGAAGTTGACGAAGACCTCGAGCTTGACGAGGGTGACCAGTTCCTGACCTCACATCTCCCTGTCCGTGGTGCGGCCCATCACGAGCGGTCTGGTTCGTTGCCTCTTGACACGCCTCCACGGAAGCCGGTGACCACATCAGCTCGCAGCACCGAGACAACACCCAAGGCCCGCAAGCACAAGTCTAGCAGCTCGTCCATTTTCCCGAAGATCTCCCGTTGGTCCAAGTCCACGGCAACCTCCATGGGCGATGGCATTCGCAACAGCATCCAGCCCTCCCGCAAAGAACGTCCGATCTCGGATGAGTCTCGGTCTGGGTCTGATCTCGCACCCCATGGAGCCTACAAATATTATGATCCCCAGGGAGATGACAGAATTCGATCCACTTATACCTTGGACCACGAGCAAGATGAAAACAGACCCCCTTCGCCATTAGTTCCTTCCCAGGTGTCTGAGGCACCCAAGTACCGCGGCCACCGTGGTAGTCTCGAGTTGCAGCACCCCCAGCCTCGACAAGGCCCCACCGGACGTTACCAGTCCCGCCTCGAAACCGAGGCCCAGATCTACGGAGGTCCAGTTTCTCCCGCTGGCTCAGACCAGTGGGAATCCAACCCCAGCCTGTCTGCGGCCAACCCTCCTCAAAACCGCAACAGCGGTGTCAGCGGTGCCACGCGTCTGTCCCCGATCTCCGACGCAGGCTACTCGGAGACCAGCTCCCGCGCAACCCGTACACCGGGTCCACCCCGTCCTCCTAAGGTCAAGGACGCGGGTCCTCTCATTCCCGAGCGTCCACCCAAAGTGGCGGATGACGAAGAACCAGCTTACAGCGTCGACCGTGCTGTTTCCAGAGTATGTATCCCAGAGACCCTCTCCCTACCCTTTCAATTGAGCAAATTCTAATTTTCACCCTCTTCAGAGCTCTGCCATCTGCTCTCCCCCCACACGCAAGCCAACTGGCCCGCGTCCCCTCACATCTGCCGGCTCCTACAGCCCAGGCAACATCAAGCGAACTCGCTACCAAGGCAGTCCCGTGCAAATCGACTACGAAGATGAGCAATATTGAGACTCGCATTGTGATACCCCTGGGTTGATATTTTCAATCTCCGTTTCCATCTAGCGTCTTTTGCCTTTTCTTCCTATTCTCCTTACGACAGTTATGACCGTTCACTGGGACTCTGGTTTCAGTTCCTCTATCCCCAAATCTATGAGCAATGTGTGTGTGTGCGTGTTTAAATGTTTACAATATTTCCTGCCCTTTCATGTTTTATGCCAATGGCCCATGGGATGAGCGGGAAGTTATGTCTTCTCTTCGCCTCCCTGGCCTTTTCTACGTTAAACTTCTTCTGCTTTTTTTTTTTCATGATCCTGCTTTCGGGCATGCGGCTGCTCTCGTGCATCTAATGAGCGTGCAGGGTTTTATGCCTCTTCTTTGTAGCTTTTGTGTTGTGGTGTAGATAGTGGTACAGAGGAAGACATAATCTATTCCGATTTCGAGGTGGAATTATCTTTTGCGTTTTTGTGTTGCTTTGTGCCCAGGTTAGATGCCAAGGTTATATTGACAAAGCCTAATGTAACATTGGCAGGGAACTTCTGCCCAGGTGGCTCTTTCCCTATTACAACCTGAGCACTTGTTTGTAGCTTGCCCAACTGTAAATAGTAGCCATGACTTCCTCAAAACACAATACTCACTTTCTTCTTCATTTTCTCCCCAGTGCGAAATAATCCTATACTCACCACCAACTCGAAGCAAGCCCAACGTTATTTTTCTTCGACTATGAATTTGAAAACTGAAAAGAAAATCATCTTCCAACTGCCGTTGCCATAGGATGGATGCTATTTAGCAGCGATGTGGCCAGCCTTGGCAGGCTGGTTCTGTTAGGACGTCTGGGAGAACGCAGCATGCGAATCGGCAATGAAACACGCTTGATATCGGGCGTGCCCAGCATGTGATCCGACTCAGAACCCTGCCCCGACTTCCTTCTCTATTCTTCCCTACTGCCTCGGTCCTTCTGTGATAGGTAATACGGCCTGAAGGCCCTTCGATCTCTGATATTCTTGGGCTTGCACAGTGAATTGTCGCCAGCTTGGCGCCAACGTGGAAGTACAGGTCTTTTGGCCTAGGATGTCCATCGGGAACGCACTCGTCGGTCAATGGTCATCCGGAACGATACCGAGAAATATCGAGTGGGGAGCAGCCTGGTAGAACACTTGGGCTTTAGGCTGGAGAATATGGGTCGGCTTAGGAAGCCAATGTAAACTAAATTTAGTTCCGTTCACGGGCCGGGCCGGTGTGGAGATCATCAACACTGGAAGGATGCCATCTTCCAACATTCCAAGGTTCATCCATGGATAAACCTATCATTGTCTGGATATTTTACATTTCGAACATAAATCCAGGGCCCTGCAAAATAAAAATGGCTTATCTCAGAAATGTTATCGTCTTTTCTTCAGTCATTGCCCCGACTCGGACGAAGATGGAGACCTCTCAACTCACCAATCTGAATTTCACTCGAATATCAACAAGCCAGGTAATCGAGGAAGAAACCATCCCGGGCTATAATGCGGGTCGGTATTATCCTACTAGAATAGGGGAAATACTCAAGGATCGGTATCAAGTTGTGGGGAAGCTAGGATTTGGAGCCAGCTCAACGACGTAGCTCGCACGTGACATGAAGTAAGAAGATACCACTGGCACCTTTGCATTCTCATTGTAATTTTACAACTCCTTAAGCTAACTGAAAATACAGTTATCATCGCCATGTAACCCTCAATATCTTCATAAAGTCCACATCGATGGGGCAGCAACTGGACGGCAAGTTGAAAATATACAAACGTATCGAAGAGGCTCCCCAGAAACATCCAGGCCACAAGTATGTTAGATCGTTGCTGGACTCCTTTGATGTCAGCGGAATTGAAGACAAGCAACGATGTCTCGTGCACCCTCAATTGTGAGAGAGTGTGTTGGGTTTTCTATTCCGCAACCCGGTACAGAGATACCTACACCAATCTTAGCTGTGACGCTTCACCATCTATTTCTTGCATTAAACTATCTGCATACAGAATGCAAGATTATCCATACAGGTGCAGTTTTCTCTTGTCGATCTCGGGCTTGATCATTCGTTTATCAATATAACAGATATCAAAGCAGATAACATTATGTTCGGTACTGATGATGATTCCGTTTTCAGTGATTTCGAAAACAATGACATCCAAATTCCCTGTCCTAGGAAGGAGGTAGATGTGTGGTAAGAGAGCAGATACTTCTGATGCACAAGTTCCTAGGCTTACATTCTCAGATTTGGGGAACCTTTACGAAGGGGTCCGCTGTTTAGCTGTCGAGATCCGGAGTACTTACAGGAGCCGGGCTCATCTTGCTGAAATGATATACTTACTCGGCCCGCCGCCACCAAGTTTCCTTGCGCGGGGAAATCTGACGCAAATTTCTTTACAGAGAAAGATAATTCATCTCTCTAATACTCTTCCTATTCCTTGAATAGGACTTGTTACTTACTGACCATTTCTGCTATTCTAGGTGACCTCTGCGCTGGAGAGTAAGTGGGAGAACATACCCTACTCGAGCAAAGAGAGACTAGTCTCGAGGGATAGGAGAAAGAGGTGTTTCTCCGTCTAGTGCGAAAAACGCTACGATGGGAGCCAGAAAAGCGAAGCTCTGCTATAGAACTCGAACAGGATGAGTGGGTGCAAGCAGAATTACATAAGTAATACTTGTTCAATTGACTATTGATGAGTCTCTGATCATGTATCCCGCGATTCGGCCTCACGATTGCGCTTCGCACTCCCCTCTAACCCGTAGAGGACATCCTCGGACATGCCTGGGATCACCATGTCAAACGTCTCCGTCACCACCGTGTACTGATAGTACCCACAGCGCGCGATCGGCTTTGTCTTCTTGATATCCAGAATTCCATCCGTCAACACCTCGTCCTTGATATGCACGGCAATCACCCGGCCAATCACCACGTCTACGGTGCCCATCGGAGGATTCCCCGGCAGCCGCACGGTGGAATGATATTCGCACTCGAATTTCACCGGCGACTCCTTCACCATAGGGATATCCATCAGCGTGGCCGACTCTTTAGTCACCTTGGCACGCTCAAACTCGTCCACCCCATAGGGCACTTGCTCCGCCGAGATGTTGACGGCCTCGCGGAGGTCCCATGTCGCCAGATTCCAGACGAAGCGTCCGGTCTGCTCCGCGTTGACCACCGTATCCTTACGCGTGCCGTTCACGGTCTGATTGGAAGAGAACATCACGTATGGCGGGTCGAATGTGAGATTGTTGAATTGAGAGTAAGGTGCCAAGTTGGCTTGGCCCTCTTTGTTCTGGGTGGAGATCCATCCGATTGGACGAGGCACCACACACGCCTGCCAGTGTTAGCTATGTCGTTCATTGTTTACCCTAGAGCCTCACCTTGAACGGGTCGTGGGGAAGATTGTGCTCTGTCACTCCGGGTTGATAGAACATGATGCGCCTTGTTTCTGTTTTCTGTGCTTTCTGGGTGTCGACCCCTCTTATTTATGTATCCCCCGCTGCCGATCGAAGTGCCGATGCCATAGAGGCTTCTTTTTAGCGCGACAGTCGACCCTAGTGGCAATGATCCATCTGTATCGTGATGACGACTCTGACATCGGATTCCGAGTATCGATTTCCCTTGGGACACATACAGATCGAGTTCGAGTTCCATGGATCGACGTTCGGTATCTCGGGCTCGGAGGCTCGGAGTGGGCCCTACACACCATCCGAAGTGCCGAAGTGTGCATGCAGCACCCCCAGAACTCTTATGGATGAATCGGCCAGTCTTACTTGAATTTGATGTGTGGCGAGCCGAGACAGCCGTTTTGAAGACTCCACGAGGATATTTAAGCTGGCTAAATTGTCAAGGATTGCTCTAGTTCAAAAAGTCCAACTCCACTCAACACATACACACATACACAATCTTCACCTACAAAGACAGATTCACAATGACCAACACTGAGCCTCACCTCTGCTTCCGGTCATTTGTTGAGGCCTTGAAGGCCGACAACGATCTGGTTGAGATTGACTCTCCAATCGATCCCAACCTTGAAGCGGCCGCCATTACTCGCCTTGTCTGTGAAACGGACGACAAGGCCCCGCTCTTCAACAACCTCATTGGTGCTGAAAATGGTCTTTTCCGCATTCTCGGTGCCCCTGCATCTCTTAGAAAGTCTCCAAAGGATCGTTATGGCCGACTTGCACGGCACCTGGCCTTGCCACCAACCGCATCTATGCGCGACATCCTCGATAAGATGCTCTCGGCCAGCACCATGGCCCCGATCCCGCCCAACATCGTGTCTACCGGTCCTTGCAAAGAGAACTTCCTCGAAGAAAGTCAGATTGATCTGACTAAGCTTCCTGCACCCATGATTCACCAGGCCGATGGAGGGAAGTACATCCAAACCTACGGAATGCACGTTGTTCGGTCCCCCGATGGGTCCTGGACAAACTGGTCTATTGCTCGCGCTATGGTCTCCGACGATAAGCACCTGACTGGTCTGGTCATTGAGCCCCAGCATATCTGGCAGATCCACCAGATGTGGAAGAAGGAAGGCCGCGACGTCCCGTGGGCTCTGGCATTCGGTGTTCCCCCTGCCGCCATCATGGCTTCGAGCATGCCCATCCCCGATGGTGTGACCGAGGCTGGGTATGTCGGTGCTATGACTGGATCCGCCTTGGACTTGGTCAAGTGCGATACCAACGATCTCTACGTGCCAGCCACCTCCGAGATTGTCTTCGAGGGTACCCTTTCTATCACAGACAAGGGTCCTGAGGGTCCCTTCGGCGAGATGCACGGCTATGTCTTCCCTGGAGATACCCACCTGTGGCCCAAGTACAAGGTCAACCGCATCACTTACCGCAACAATGCCATCATGCCCATGTCATCTTGCGGTCGACTGACCGATGAGACTGTAAGACACTCACCCCATTACCCCACCTTTGCAGCGCCCTACTAACAAATATTAGCATACCATGATCGGCTCACTGGCCGCTGCCGAGATCCGCAAGATCTGTCAACAAGCCGGACTCCCGGTAACTGACGCCTTCGCGCCATTCGAGTCTCAAGTGACCTGGGTCGCTCTGAGAATCGACACCGCAAAGCTTCGGGAAATGAAGACCACCCCGAAAGAATTCTCCAAGAAGGTCGGTGACCTGGTCTTTAACTGCAAGGCCGGCTACACCATCCACCGGCTGGTGCTCTGTGGTGATGACATTGATGTCTACAATGGAAAGGATGTTATGTGGGCTTTCTCGACTCGCTGTCGTCCTAACCTCGACGAGACCTTCTATGAGGATGTGCGCGGGTTCCCCCTTATTCCATACATGTCGCATGGAAATGGATCGCCAGTGCAGGGCGGAAAGGTTGTTTCTGATGCTCTGCTCCCCTGTGAGTATACTACCGGGAAAGATTGGGAGGCCGCCGATTTTGAGAGCTCGTACCCTGAGGAGGTCAAGCAGAAGGTTTTGGCCAACTGGACAAAGATGGGATTCCGGGAGGAGTAAATCAAGATTGTATAGTACTTTGTGATTTTAAATAGATATTATTTAGGTAGAGATGGGAATTTGATGAATGTTGGTCCGTGTCTTGGTAATATAGGGATAATTTAGGTATTAATTACCGCTATTCTTTATGCAATTCAATACACCATCACCGCACTAATTTTTTATGTTATATCACTTTAGTCTATAATCGGATCCTTTATACTTAAATTTGATGTTCGAATTTGATACTGGCACACTGGTGGTACTATATAGACTGCCGTAATATGAACGCCAGGTGGGTACCCGCCAAGAGCCGATGCGCGATTCTGTCCGATCGTTTTGGCAAGGCCTACATCGCTTACTCTCGGCAACATAGCCAATATCACCCAGTACCGAGCTCGGATGTATATTTTTATATTGAGAGAGCCCCACAATTTCAAACAGTACAACCTTTTGGCCAAGACAACAACCCCTGTTAATCCCGGTACCTCGGAGTCCTCGGCAGCATGAGTGCCATCAGCCAAGGCGAAGCAGACCGGGTGCTACACCTCAAGAGTCGAGAGCGAGAGGCCCATGCATGCTACCCATGTAGAAAGCGGAAGGTGAAATGTGATGGAGGCCAACCATGTCATACCTGTCAGAAGCGAAAACATCCCGATATCTGTACCTACGCCCTTTCGCATTCGAGGCGGAGATCGGCTTCTCGTCATAGTGTTGCACGCTCGGCTTCGCCCAGATCACCGGCCGTAGCAAACAACGAACGAGCACGGCGCGATGATAGATCGAAAGATTATGTCTATTCTGGTGATAATTCGGTCGTTTCGATCCTGCGCTTGCGAGCATCGGATGCCAATGAATCAGTAGCCCGTGAAGTCGGCTCTGTTCTTGGTCTGCGGAATACCTTCAGCAATTATCCTTTTATGGACTCGAAAACTCCGCTTGAGAGGTGGAAGGCACTATTGACTGTAATGCCTCAGAGATCTGAGGTCTTGAAGTAGGTTGCAAATAACTAGAAAGGAATACGGCTAACTGGTTAGATTCTTCCACTTCTATCGTGTCACGGCATATCCATTCAATCCAATACTCGCTGACATTGACCGCTTTGAATCCGACTTGTGTATCTATCTCAATGCTCATGCATCTGGTGAATTACGCGACCCGGAGAATATCACTGATCGCTGGGCGACCGACAAGTCGATTGGCCATGTCAGCCTTTTACTGGCAACATTAGCAGCAGGGGCACATTACTCCGATACTGAATATCTCGAACGACTTGAACTGTCAACTGACTTTGGTAGGCTTGACTGCACGTTCATCAAACTTGGCTAACGATATTCAGCCCGTCGATCATTTCATGCTCTCCGCTTGGCCAATTTCCTGTTTCGGCCATCACTAGATATTATACAAGCGCTGCTTATATTGGGGAATACTTTGCAGAATATGGGACAGTCCGATGCCGCTTGGGCGTTACTGGGTACGACAATCCGACTAGCCCAGACCATGGGCCTGCACACCGAAAGAAGTACTGTTCACTGGCCCGAGCAGATGAAAATGAAGGCCAGGAATCTTTGGTAAGAAGATCAAACTACTATAGGCATATCTGATCGCATCACAGCTGACATTCAACAGGTCAACAATTGTTTGGCAGGATAGTCTACTGTGTCTTTGCTATGACCGACCGCCTATTGTCTCTGTGACGGGATGGTCTCTCGCCAGCTCGTTTTTCGAAAGACAAGACTTGTCTTTCGCAGAAGTAATGCATTTGCTTTGTCGTATCAGTCTAGATATCATGGGGCCGGAAACTCTCGGCGTCGTTGAACTTGATCGAGCACTAGAGGGGCTACAGCGGGTGGATGATATTCACCAACGCGGTCTACCATATCTTCGATCACGGGAGAATTGCATAACACTACAACAGCATCTCGAGCATTTAGCTCTCAGAATGCACACCTCCTTCTGTGTATCGGTCTTCTGCAGACCAGCAATGAAGCAATCCACTCCACAATCCTTTCACCCCCACGCTGGTATTCTTCGGGCTCGTGCCAAAGGGAGTTTGATCGATGCTTCGAAGGCATTTCTTGATTTTCAGGCTCTGAGCACTGTTCCATTGCGGAGCTGGTCAATGGTACATACAGTGCTGAGTTCAACCCTCCTTCTCTGTATCTGGGAAGAGACACGCAATGACCCCGAATGTCGCAATCTTCAACAAAAAGTCATCGACGTCTTCTCATCATCTAATTCAAGAACCAACGATGATGGTGCTTCCTTTTCTGAAAATGATAGTCAGTGGCTGTCGGATCGTCACATCCGAGCCTTGGTGACCTTACGAAGCGCCTTGGAACGAGAGCAGGAGACAGGCGCTACCGAGACAGAGAACTGGGTGGGAATGGCCTCGAATGTGCCGCAATTTGGCCCTGGGTAACTAAGTTTCCTATCTATGGTGAAGATGAATGCTCACATCTGAACAGGCCCGTTGGGTACATGGACATGCCCGATCCATTCGATGTATCACCAGTCACGTATCTGGACTCGATTATGAATCGTAAGCACTGTTTGGCTGGTTTTGACAATTAAAAGGTAACTAACATATGACAGTTCCAATATTTGATTATACACAGGAAAATGGGTTCCTGTGAAAAGCCCAAACCTGATACCTGCGTGCGGTCGTAATACCCCGTCATAGACTTCAATCAATTAAACTTTCACACGGCACACAGTAATGCACCCAGTTTAGGTCTTACGCAGAAGATTTTTTATCAAATTGGGGCCATTGTGTCACCCATGAATGGCGATCCGCGCAACCTTCGGATCTCGGCATCGGGACCTCGGGGTCTCGGAATACTCCATTCGGGTCCCCAAAATCGGTCCGATGACATTATTCTCCTGTATCTCGGTCCACGCGGTAAATTTTAGCAAGAAAACCGTGAGAACTAGGATAATCGGCATTTCGCCACATATTAATATAAAACAAGCCAGTGTTGTCAGGCTCAGTTCATTCATCACACCAATCTTCACAGCTCCACGGTATACAAAACCAAACCCTCACTCAACAAGACCAAAACAACACATCCAATAAAATCCCCAATTAATGCTTTCTCTTCTCTCCGGAACACAAACCCCATCATCCAGCCGCCATTCTCCCGAAGACAGTCCAACCAAACCAACAATGCCAACCATCGACCACCATATCCCCCAACAAACCCGCCGCAGACGCATCGTAGCCGCCATGACCGGTGCAACAGGCGCAATTCTCGGAATAAAAGCCCTCATCGCCCTCCGTCGCCTAAATATCGAAACCCATCTTGTGATGAGCAAATGGGCCGAGGCAACCATCAAATACGAAACAGACTACCACCCATCGAATGTCAAAGCACTGGCAGATCATGTGCACAATATCAACGACATGGCTGCGCCGATTGCTAGCGGCTCTTTCAAGGCTGATGGCATGATCGTTGTTCCATGCAGTATGAAGACACTCGCTGCCATTCACAGTGGGTTCTGTGATGATTTGATCTCGCGTACTGCGGATGTCATGTTGAAAGAGAGACGGAAGCTTGTGCTTGTTGCGAGGGAAACGCCGCTTAGTGATATTCATTTGCGGAATATGTTGGAGGTTTCTCGTGCTGGTGCGATTATCTTTCCTCCTGTGCCGGCGTACTATATTCGGGCTGCGTCGGTGGATGACTTGGTTAATCAGAGTGTGGGGCGCATGTTGGATCTGTTTGATTTGGATACGGGGGACTTTGAGAGATGGGAGGGATGGCAGACTGAGAAATAAAGGGATAGAGATGGGTTGATTTGTTTTTGTTTAGCATTTGCTGGCGTTATCGGCTTGGATAGACTGGTGCATTATCAAATAGACTGGGGGGCTTCAAAAATTTAGAGCGCTTTTCATTAGCATCGGTTTTCTATCCTCTTCATTAGGGTTGGGTCTTAGTGCTACTGGTAGAAATTTTGGGGCATCGTGCAGGAAAGAGTAGATGATATAGCGTAGAGATGATGGGATGTCCAGTCTCTCACACAAGTTGAAAGACGTTCCGACCAACTGGATGTTCGAAGATGGGCTCCTAGGAACGCCAGTGGGTAGTAGCGCAATTATCGTAAAAGCACGAGGAAGAATGAAAGGAAAGATGTGATTGAATGACAAGAATGACAGACCTGACCTTTGGTAATGAATATAATGAATAGTAGAATCCCAAGTACACCAAGAGAAAAAAACCAAAAAGAACAAGCAGTCAAACAACAACCACAACCGTCATGATATCATCTCCAAACCCCAACCAGAATAATACCCGGTTCCCAAAAGTTAACCCTAGTAATCCGAGAAAGGTCGAACAGAGGTAGTCCCCCTCCCTCTAACAGCATAAGCAGTAGCGAGTGAGCTATAATCCAACACATCACTAACAGGGAATTTCCCGGGATAACTCTCAACAGAGTGATACTTCCGCGCGCGATTCATCTGCACCGTCTCAGAATCCTCCACCGCATTAACGGTCGCCCCAAACGAGACCGGCTGCTGTGCCTTGGTTGCAGATGACGGACCAGGGTCACTGAAGTGATCTGCGACGCGTGCTGGTGCAGACATGGGCACGGGGAAAGGCACATTATGGACGAAGTGAGGTTGTGAAGTGCGTACTGAAACTGGAACCAGGCATGGCTCGGCGCGTTCCTCGTCGGAAGGCGAACCATCGAGAGTCCGTGGGACAACGGTCAGCGGCTGTTGGAAGATGGCTTTTGTCGAGCTGGCGATCTTTGAAATGCTGCCTCGTGTGCTAGATCGGAACTTGCGCATGGTTTCGTAGATGGGGGAGCTTTCTCGGTGACGTTCGGTGTCTGACTGTGATGTGGGACTTTCTTGCTCTGATGAGGAATCAGAGTCTTGATGTCCCTGCTGTGGCCAGGTTGATGTGGCTGGCAAGTTGGTGGTGCGGAGGTTGTTATCATGGTTCAGGGTATCATTGCCCGATGAAAGGTGCCACTGACGCTCTGTTTCTGTTGCGGAAGTATAGGCTGAGAGTGGGACAGGGCCGAGGACAGCGTTGACAATGCTTGTTTCTGTACGGTTGATGGCCTTGTTGAAGGGTGGAAACTCACGCCTTGTGTTCCAGAGTGGTCGTGCGAGGTAGGAGGCTGCGTAGAGCAGTTGCAGCCAAGAGAGAGAACCGATGAGACATATTGTTTTTAGGAGGGATATGGGGAAAGCCGTGGAAGGGTTTCGATCCATGATGAATTGGGAGAAAGAAGACAAGAAGAAAACTATCGGCGACTCAGCTAGTGAAGATATGAATGACCTAAAAGAGTTCAGCAAGTCGAGTCAACTACTATTTACAATTAAGGAAGCTACAAGCCACTCGGGTACAAACAAGGAAAGAACCAGAAGTGCCTTTAGATTTAACGAAAAGTAAAAAGGGTAAGACTTTCGTATATCTAAGTATAGATACACGAAACATATCAAATCAATCGGGTGGTAATAGAGAAAGAATCTAGGAGGGGTCGGAGCTGAAGAAGATCCCAAAAATCAAAGAAGTGAAGTAGATTTCTAGGACATAGGTTTATCAAGAGTATGGCAAAGAAGCGAACAATCCGAAAAACCAAGGCTTGATATGGCAAAAAAAGCCCCCGGAAAGTCGTTATAACTGCAGTGTCTTGTCTGATGATCGAGCATTGTTGACCTGTATAAATATGTACCTAGATAGATTCACGTGGGATGCCCCCTGGTAGTGTAGTGTCTGGAAACGGCAAGTTGGATAATCCAGCTTCTTGTCCACGGGTGCCCCACCTTGCAGGCTGCTGGTTGGTTCTGCTGCGCAATCACAACTCAGTTACCAATAGGACGCGGTACCTCCTGCAGTTCGGGCATCCTTGTATACACAATGATTCGTTGGGTTACCTCGTTCGCTGATGCGGGCGCTTAGGCCGTGCACCCCATCACCCCTGGTGCTTTAGGCTGATGGCAAGGCGTCGGTCGCATTCATTCCTCGTTACCCCTCCCCGTTCCTGATTTTGTTGAATGGCCGAGTTTACAGCCTACGGACACATTCAAACCCAAGCGATATTTACATTTCGACCCATTCACCCCTGCATTTGCGCCGACGGCAGCGGCAACTCATGCCAGACAGTTGTTTTTCCAGATGCCCATTGAATGAATGAAACCGATCCCCATGGCGAGCATGGCGTCCGCAATATCGTTTGGGTATTCAAATAATTCGGGGTTCCAGATGGGTGTGAACTACGGCGAGGTCACTAACCACTTCCACATGCCTATTGAAGAGATGAAAGAGACAAATACTAGGCCTTGTAAGTCAACAGAAAAGCCCAGCTAGGATATTAGGCTCACCCATTTTGTCCAAGGTGATCAACCTCAAGTCCACTATATTATCCCATCTTTGGAAAATCGTCACTTTACTGGCCGTGAATTCACGCTAGATCAGCTTAAACAGAAGCTGTTTCTATAAGCGAATACTGAAAAACTAGCTCTATTCGGGCTAGGTGGCATCGGCAAAACCCAAGTTGCTCTTCAGCTTGCCCGCTGGGTGAAGGCGCATGTACCAGACTGCTCAATCTTCTGGGCTCCTGCCCTGAGTCTCGAGAGTTTTGAGCAGGCTTGTTCGCAAATCGCGAAAGAGCTACAAACCCATCAGAATGACGGTGAAAGTGCGATGGAATCGGTACAGCGATAGCTGAGCTCTGATAAAGCCGGAAAGTGGCTTTTCATTGTCGATAATGCCGATGACGTGGACTTGCTTTTCGATCAGCTTGATTAGTATTTCCTTACTAGCAACAACGGTATTACTCTGCTCACTACTCGTTCCCGCGAGGTGGCACTATCGTTCGCTGGAAGAGATATAGTTGAGCTCCAAAAGATGACAATAGAGGAAGGGATTGCTTTTCTTACTAAGATTGTAGGAGAAGACTCGCTTTATGACCAGAACTCCACTATATAATTATTAGAGGAGCTAAACTTCCTACCCCTGGCTATTGTATAGGCAGCTTACTATATTTGTCGAAATGGTGGAACGACTACACGCTACCTTCAGCTTATGCATAAAACTGAAAAAGACCGGATGCGTCTAGTAAGCCGGGAATTTCACGATAGTACTCGCTATCGTAGGATGGCAAATGCGGTGGCTACTACGTGGCTTATCTCATTCAACCAGATTTAGGGCTCTGATCCCTCTGCTACCGTTTTGTTGGAATTTATATCTTATCTTGAGCCAAAGGCAATCCCACGATCTATTCTCCCTACCCTTGATTCAGAAGAGGCGATGGATTTTTCAATTGGTACGCTGTGTAGCTATGGATTTCTCACCAGGAGGGATAATGAAGATATATTTGATATATATAGCTTGGTACAGCTATCAACCCGAGTGTGGATAACAGACGTACGGAAGATATAACAGATTATCGCGACCTTAACGCAACATATGGACAAGTGTTTTCTATCTGATGAATACACAAATCGTGATATATGGAGAATGTACCTACCACACGCTCTTGAAATTCTCAGAAGAGAGGAAAGTCAAGAAATGAGTGAGAGGTATACCTTACTTTCCAAAGTTGGGAAATGCATTCTAGCGGATGGCCGGACGAAAGAAGCTGTGACTCTTTTTGGAGACATGTGCGTATGGAATGAAGGCCAGTATGATGAAGAACACCCTGATCGACTAGCATCTCAGCACGAACTTGTAAGGGCATACCAATCCAACGGGCAGATCAAGCAGGCCGTGGAGCTACTTGAGCACGTGGTCGCGGTGCGAGAGAGAACGCAAGATGAAGAACACCCTGATCGACTGGTATCTCAGCACGTACTCGCAGGGGCATATGAATCCAACGGGCAGATCGAACAGGCCGTAGAGCTACTTGAGTACGTGGTCGCGGTACAAGAGAGAACGCTAGATGAAGAACACCCTAATCGACTGGCATCTCAGCACGAACTCGCAAGGGTATACCAATCCAACGGGCAGATCGAACAGGCCGTGGAGCTACTTGAGTACGTGGTCGCGGTACGAGAGAGAATGCTAGATGAAGAACACCCTGATCGACTGGAATCTCAGCGCGCTCTCCAAGGCATCAAAATGTCGATCAAAGCAGCGACCATGGAGAACATATTTTTATCACCTCCCACCCCCCCCTGATAATGAGGCTTAATCGACCTGCTCTTCGTCGAATAAATCTGCTCCTGCAAAAAAGTCTCACTGCAGTAGCTACCATTTTTTACTTCGTAACGTATGGTTCACGACGGCACCCATAGGAAATAAATTGAAGCCTGAAATGCACAATATGACGGTTTGTGACAATACTATGTAATGTACAGAGCCAAAATATAGAACGGAGCTAACTGTATGCGGTTAGAGCCGCCTTGGCATTGAAAGTTTGAAATAGAACGTGTGAATGTACAAACGCAGGGCGATTTTGCAAGCTACTGTAGAAGATAAAGAAAAGGGAGTTAATATCCGTAGTGACTACGTATATATGACAATATGATGGGATCATGCGCCCGTCACAGGGTAGGTTCCATAGTCTTCTTAATCACGGGAATACTTAAGACCTTTGGCTCAAAAGAGTATTGAGGTATATCCAGAACCGTCTAGTCAATTCCCTCGACTACCTCGAGGACAAAGGCAAGGAGCCCAAGAGCGATGACAATAGTTACAGTACACATTCATCGTTAACCTCTATCTAGAAACTCAAGGATAGACCATAGGTTGAGTATAGCCAAATTAATCTCAGGAACACCTTCTTTCACGCTGAATCCGTTTAACCAACCTAGATTATGATGGAAAAGTGAATCGAGGTACTGACGATCATGTCCAGAGTAGTCTGGACGGGCAGTTCTTCTTTGAACAATGTTCACTCTAAAGGTGAGCCTGTTGCGAGCGAAGAAATCATTCATGGTTTTTTCTGTTTGCTGCGTGCGCTCTACCCACCATTGGGGATGTATTAAAAGTAGCTGCCTTATCAGGGCATTGATCTCTGCCCTCCAAAAAGCAGGATCTTGGATTAGCCTCGGGATTATCTCTCCACCCCTGATGGTGCCCACATAAATTCCATCCAGCTCACTCTGATTGAGCACCACGGGTGGACTGGGTTGGAAAGGAGTCGGTTGGAAAGGAGTCGGAGTGACCGGTCTCGACAGGTCTTTCGAATGTGATGCAGTGGTAACACCTGAATATGATTATTATACTTTGAAACGATAAATTTTGTGAATTTGATATACATACCAGGGTTGAGCAGAGTATCCTCCACAGTTCGTGTTTGATCAATACGAAGAACCGAGATCACCGAGAGAAGCTCTTTGGCATATGCTGCCGCCACTGTCGCGGCATATCCCTGCCATTCTTTATTCTTATGCGAGTCGGCGTAGTCGCAGATGCCACGAATGACCAGACACGGATAATTATTCATGAGTCCCGCAGCTTCCATCTCCACGCAATATGCATCCAATTCACGGCCCAGCTCATCCCGTAATTGACTGTCTCTCACCAGTTGATTCGAAGATGCAATCAGGCCATAATGGATCATAGGCTGGTTTGAATCCCGCGAAGGCCGAGAAACGGTTTTGGTTTCATCACAAGCACAACAAGTCTTAGAACTGACATCGACATGAATGTGATCGGCACGATATAAACAATCATCCTTGGTAGGGCGAGCCAGAGGGGAAGATTTTTGGGGTATCTTGCGTTCGATCTCAGCCAGAAAATCCAGGAATCGGCTCCGGCCCGTGATATGATTTGCTTGCAGTTTGGAGAGCGCAGTCAAGAGGATCTGAGGTGGCTGGCTGAGCATGCCTGTTCGCTGAAACTCGCCGCCATTCAGCGCTTTGCCATAATCAAATTGTACCACTCCTCCATGGGTATGTGTTGGCTTGCTGACCACGACATCACCCAGGCGGATATCTGCTTCTTCATTTGGTATTCCTCCTCCTATCCCGACCATCAGACCAAATCGAATGTGGCTGAAGCTCGATTTTAACTGCATGGCAACTGAAGTAGCAGATGCAATGCCATATTGACCGTATGGCAAGCATGCAATCACAACATTGTGTTTTCCGATGCTCCAAGAGTGTAGGCATTATCGTCGTTCGCCTGCACAGGCAAGTCTTCATGGACTTCATCTAGAAGCACTTGCGCGGCTGCCATCTCCAGTGGTAAAGCGCAGATCCACCCGACCGTGTTATCATCATGATTTTTGGCGGCCATGATAGACCGTATACCTTTGATATAAACTAGGTCATTGATTCAGAATGTAATATGAAAGGCTTGAAAGACACAGGGAACAGATGCGGAGTTATTTAGGAGAAGAGGGGCTGAGAAGTTAGTGCCTTTTGTGGGAAAAATACAGCTTATTTCATGACTAGACCATAAGAAAACTTTGGTCTGTTTAGGGGGGGCATTATTACGGGGCAATACTCGTATCTTAGTCTATCCTAGTCTAACTATCCAAAACCTTCTTAATGCTTTCACCGCCTTGAGGGGTGTTCTTGCATTCAAAGAAGAAGTCGAAGCTATTCGGGCCAATGCACGATACCCGATTCGGGTGTTGGGCCGTGATCTAGCCGCTATGTAACTGTGTATGACTATATTTGTCCATAGACAGGCATATCCGATAGTCTCGCTAGTCACGCATGGGAAAAGAGACTATCTAGGTATTTCCCAACCCTACTGCTTCTACAGAAACGTATATAATACTCTAGTAAAAACTAATAGAATACCCAAAGGGAAGGAACGATGTACCTATGTAGGTAACTTCCAAGGTTCCGAGGTCGGCACCTGAACCTTGGAACCTTGGAACTTTATAGATCGTTCCCGCGGCTCCACTTGGCTAACTCCACCTCTTCAACCTCGTCTCTCTGTGTTCATGTCCAATATAAGGCACGCTACTCGTTCCATCATGTCTGCCATTGCCTGCAAACATCTTCGTCCGCGAAAGTTCGCACCTCTCGGTTCTGCTGAGGGGTCAACTGCCCCTCCTTTAAAGGGAATTGTGTTTGATGTGGATGGGACTTTGTGGTGAGTCACACTTTTTGTTCCTTATATTTTATACACATTATGCGCTGTAGTTCATTTCCCCTTGTCGGATATCCGCTATGTTGCATGCACCCTGGAGAGTTTATATGCATCTTGATGCTATAATTGGAAGCGAGCAGGGAATGGAGATTAAGGCGTCAATTTGAGATTCAGGCAGAAACATACTTTTCTATTCGGGAAAGTATGCCTTGGACTCAGATGTCTGGCTTTAAGAAAGTTTGCACGGATTGCCCGAGAACTTCTCGAATTAGCTCTTATTTTCTCGATGATCTCTGGATCTGCTTCAGGTTAGACGATAATTGCTGCGGCCTGGAGTCTGAGATGTAGTAGTTGACTGGAGGGCACTTTCATGCTCTTCTGCTTTTATATTATGTTCCAGCCTTTAATGTCGTGTTTAATCACGGGGCAATTGAGCATATTTGGCGGTCCCAATGATATCAAGCTCTAATCGTGTTATCAAGTCAATTTTATTGATATTGACTGAGCCTAGCTAACCTTGACAAGTCTGCCACAGCATCACATGTTCAGCGAGATGAGGTATGGCTACTACCCGCGGGCTATTCAAACCCAATCCCCTCCCCAACCTCTCTAACAAATCTCCCAATATAGAGAAGCACTAGGAATCGATCGTTCCATCGACATCCTCCAGCACATCCGCGAACTCCCAATCGCAGACCAACCCACAGCCGTAGCCAAAGTGCAAGCGGTAGAACGCCGAGCCATGGCCGACCAGAAGCCGCAGCCTGGCCTAGTTCGCCTAATGGACTACCTTGAATCCCGCAGCTTACGACGGGCACTCTGCACGCGGAACTTCGAGTACGTTATAGCAATTAACGCAATCAGAACATAACCTTGGATCCTTCCGTCCATTTGTATTCCGGTTATGCCATCTACACACAGCGCTAACGTACAAATTCGAATCTCTCAGAGCACCAGTTCAGAACCTGATTGACAACCATCTCGACGGCCATACCTTCCTACCAATCATCACGCGGGACACACCGAATCTCCTGCCCAAGCCTGACCCCGCGGGCATTCTGCATATTGCGAGCGAATGGGGTCTCGCTAATGGTGAGAATTTGATCATGGTTGGTGATAGCATTGATGATATGACGGCTGGGCATATGGCTGGCGCTGCGACGGTGTTGCTTTTGAATGAGCTGAATGTGCATTTGAAGGAACACCCGCATACCGATCTTTGTATTAAGCAGTTGGATGATCTGGTCGGTATTCTAGAGGAGGGCTTCCTCGGGACCCGAGAGAGTGATGAGCATTCCGCGTGATCTAACTCCAGTATTGTGTCATCTCATGGTGGGATCTACCTAGAGGCTGTTGGTTTATGGATATGCTAGATTGTCTGTCTGGACAGCATGGACATGTACCACGTACAATGTGAGAAATATACTTGCTGAAGTGAGAGTTGTTAGAATAAACTGTCATTTAATCGTACATACATTCTCAGCCGAGGCTGAGGGGAATGGTTGACACTGTGCTGTTTGTTATGTACATGGCTTTCGCCGGTATCTGCTGCTCACTTCTCATATCACCCCCATTCTTACCACCCGCGGCCTCTGCCGCCTCCACGGGGTCCACGTGAGAATCCTCCTCCTCGTTGTGGTCCACGGCCTCGGCTACCGCCTCTTGGTGGAGGAGGACCCCGTGGAAGGGGCGGGTTCGGGGAGCGCGCGCGGTTGTTGTTTCCGGAGAAGGTTGATCGACCACGAGAAGATCCTCTGGATGGTGGATCGCCACCACGTTTTCCTCCGACTCCGCTTGCGAACTTAATACTGCCGCGAGTATTTCCGCGCGGGGCAGGGACGGGGCGTCCTCGGCCTCGGGATACGCGGGACATCATGTCATCTTCCTCTGGGGATGGAGCTGGAGACCATCCCCTGTTTCTTCCGCGGGCTGAAGCTCGGCTTGGTGGGCGGCTCTCTCGGGGCGGGACGACAGTGTTCAGGTTTGTGATCATGTCGGGATCTATACCCTTCAGGGTAAATGACGATGACTTGCCGGTTTCTGCGCGCACTTTAGTAGCTGGGCAGTCTCCCATAAGATGTTTCGCACTGCAGCAATTCGCACAGCAGATTGACACTGTGACTTGGTTGGAGTGAAGATCCCTGATTGGGAACTTCCATAGATAATCACATTCGGATTCCAGATGCTCATCGCCACAGTAATCACAAGGCACTTCGTATGCGAAACTGCGTAGCTTTTCAGTGCATTGCGGCTCGTCATGGCCACGTTCGCGGCATCTCTGGCATCGTCGCCAGTCAGGACAAATGCTGCTTTGATGTTGATTCCACGCGCCACAGTGTTCACACTTTATATTTGAGGTTAGTGGGATGAAAATAAAGTAATTAGATGCAAGTAGAACATACCTCTTTTGCTGGACAGACATCGGCCATATGGCCCTCGCGTTGACATTCAATGCAAGAGATAGGAAGTTTGAGGTCTATATCATGGATGTTTCGATCAAAATAGACGTACTTCGCAATAATTTCGAGGTCTGTCTGGCTTAGGTCCACCAAAGCAACAGGCGCATTTGGATACTTGAGTGAGAAAAGCCGGAATGCTTCCTCTTTCGATCCAGATCCGGTTTGGGTAGGTGAGCTTTTCAGATTTGCGTTGGAACCATGCTGATGGGCCAGAGTGGCAGGATCATAGTCATTGGCACCATCCATTCCCATCTTATCTCCTATGTTCAGTAGGATAGAGTCATCGGCTTCAGAACCCAGAGAATCTGAATCATCTGTGTCACTCTTGGAGTCAATCTCCCCATCTTCCAGTTCATCATCATTTTGAGATTGGTCGTTTGCTGTGGGCTTCTCTTCACCATTGGCCGAGACAGATGCACTGCGACTGCGCCAATATTTGTCGTTCACCGCTTCAAATTGAGTAGGCTTGTCGTTTGTTGGCGCCGATCGTTTTCCAAGCGTTGTGCGCACTGCAGCCTTCCGACCCTGGTTCCAGCTAATTGCAGGCGCGGTGTTGCCGGCGTGGGGGTTTGCGACGGTAGTTGGGTCCGCGTCGGAATCGGAATCTTCACTTGAGGAACTAGATCCAGAGCTAGATGTGTTGTCGGGATCATCCACTGGCAAGGAGGTTGCACTAAATGCAACTCCTTTTGGAACAAAATCAGCTAGATCTGAATCCTTCTTATTTCTGTTGCGGCGTTGTCGCTTGGCTGGGCGGGCGCTGTCGTGCGATGCGGAGCGCGAGGTGGAACGCGGATTTGATCGAGTACGCGGTACGCCAACCAGGGCTGTGCGCGAATCAGCCTCTTCATCTGAGGAGTTTGCCATTATTAATTGGAAAGAAGTTTGGAAAAAAGTATTGGAATACAGATCGAATGGGAGTCTTGAAGGATCAACAGTAGAGTTTGGGTCCCCAGAAAATTTCACGGTAGACGATATCGACCACTCGCGCAATTCCAAAATTGGAAGTATACGACAGAGGTACATAAGGCGATAAGCCATAGAGCCCATGATTTGGGCTCGGATGTTTTGTATTGCATAGAAGCAAAACTGTAGGCTGGTCTTATTTTCAATGATGACACTTTATCAAATAGATCATTATAGAGAGCACTATCTGACCTCGTTGAGGCTGTATACAACCGAGACTTGCATACACGGGTGCTTATCGCAGGCACTTACGCGTAAGAATTGAAAAAATAACATTTTACGATCAATCCAACAAGTTAGATGGTCAATATCAACATGATATCGACGTGACCTAGACAGCGGGCAAGCAACCCCTACTCAGTAAGCCCCTTTGACCCCGGGGCCATAGTCAAGCATCTTATATAGATTTAACTGGGCCTTAATAATAGCTGGAATTATGATCCGAGTCATTAGAATCTCTTCAGACTGGGAGTTGTCTTATGCGTAAGATCTACCCGCGAAGTATATAACAAATCGAAGCGATCGACGCCAAGAGTGGGGTTGATGCCATCTTCTTTCGTCCCAAGTGCCAAGTGCCAAATGTCATTACGGATCTTATGGATTCTTATACTGAATATTCAAAGTACTACTGATCATCTACGAACTAAGACTGGACAAGGGCTCACAACCCGCAGTCGTCCAAAGGGCTTTTCGGTGTTTTTTTTGGATCCATCAAGTTCGGGCACTATTATCTTCCATATTAATCACAAGTCTATGGTTCTACATTAAAAAGTCTCATGCTGTCAAGGACAGAGGCCACACTGGCTTCCGACTATTCTCGTTGATTATAGAACTACCTCGCATCAGCTCCTAGTGGGCGGACCAGAGACTCATATACTCTTTTTCGCCGGTGACAGGCAATGCCACATACAATCACAGTAACACTGAATAGTTTGGATGGAATTACAATTAATTCCCCGCTACTAAGTACTAGAACTGTCATATAGAATGAAGACATATTTTCATGCCGACAGGATATGTAGATTTCTACAACAGCAGAGGATCTTAGGTGTATGGTATTTAAAATGACATCTAAAAAGGCATTGGAACGCAAACTAGGAACATTTACTTTTAGCTCCTCTGGTAAAATTACTCCAAAGCTCTATTGGGCCTTTCACATACAAGCACTACTGCCAGGACACAAGCTATGGCCCAAAGCCCATCACCACAACCAGATTTCAATGTTCCCACCAAAAGAATCCAGTACATAAGCCTTTGGTACCAATGGTGGAGGCCTATCCAAAGTTCAACGTCCGGTGGGGAAATGATCATCTGGTGTGGCCTAGTATACTAGCCATCAACAATTTCAACCGATTGTTTATGACGCCCGGTAGCATTTTACCCCATGGCTAGATTGGTACCATCAATACGAACAAAATTACATAGTTGTTTAGGCTAAAGAAGACTGTGCTCTAGACACGACAGAGTATTGCACATGGAGCTTTCTCACTTAGGATCTATTACGATGCACTTTTGGCTACAATGAGATTGGAAACTTCTTACTATGCAGACACATACGGCTGTGAGGTTTGAAGGAATAATTGCGCTAAAATAGTCCGCTGTTTATGTGGTCTCTTTCCTTAACGACATAAGACTTTAGTGGTCTGATTTATTTAGCCCAAGGCCATATTAGGGGTAGTCCTATGTAAGAATACTCTGTGCTTTTGCGTGTTCTTTTTAGAGCTTGTGTTCGGATGTACTTTTCAGACAGTCTTTCAGGACGGTCTTTTTGTGCCTCTAAAGACTCTTTTTTTTAAATGTATACAAAGATGGTAACAAACATAATCATTTTGGAGTCATAGTTGAGTCAAGGTGGCCAAGTCATGTATATTAGTCCATGGATGTCTCAGACTTATTTGCCCCATAAAAGGGAATATCAACGATAAGGAATATTTAAGAGAAAGCCTCAAACCAGACAGAAAGGGAAGGATGACTTATTTATGAATCTTCCCCTTTACTGAATCCTTAATATAAAGTACATATTTAGTCTTAGTCTTTTCGGGCTAGATTCCGCACATGCATACGTTCGTACATCGATGTACGGCCAATTATGCATTTACCTTTTTCTAGGCCAATCTAAAAGGTAGGAAATAGATTAGGGAGGAAAAAAACCAATCTAATTATAGACCTAGAATGGAAAGAAAAAGAGATAGTCTAAGCCAAAAAAAAAAAGAAGAGGTGCCCAGGTGAATCAGAGAGCTCTTCCGCACCCCGTGACCCAAAGCCGATCCGACCGGCAAACTCCAGTCTGGGCCGTGCCACCTCATCCCCACGCTCCTTTTCATTCTTCTTTCCTTCTCTTCCCACCTATTCTTTTCCTTTGGATCCAACCGTCAAGCTGGCGTCCGACAATTCAAAAGTGTCTTCCCTGTTGGCACCCCGTGGGATCTCCTTTCCCCCGGATGTTGACACAGGACCGCACCGGTTATCTCCAAGCATGACCTCAAAACAAGGCCGCCGGAGGCGGTCCAGCAGTCTTATCTACCAGGAACCGGCTGAGTCGATTGAACATACCAGTGATCAGGCCGCATTACCAAATCTGAATGCAAACTGGGTGAATGCCAAGGGTGAGTGAGAAACGATCCTGGAGACCACATATCTCTATCAGAGAAACCAAGGACTAACATGGGATTCCGTGCTGTTTGTAGGTGCCTGGACCATCCATTTCGTCTGCATCGCCGCTCTCAAGATTTTCTACGACATCATCCCGGGCGTCTCGCAGGAAACTTCGTGGACTCTTACCAATATCAGCTACATGTTCGGATCTTTCCTCATGTTCCACTGGGTGCGGGGCATTCCGTTTGAATTTAATGCCGGTGCCTACGACAATCTCAACATGTGGGAGCAGATCGACAACGGCGACCAGTATACACCCGCCAAGAAGTTCCTGCTCTGCGTGCCTATCGTGCTCTTCCTCCTCAGCACTCACTACACCCACTTCGATTTGACCCACTTCACTATCAACTTCCTGGCCACATTGGGGGTGGTCATTCCCAAGCTGCCTTTCGTATGTGATATCTGCTCAGAACAAGATCGACCAAAATCATTTGCTAACTTTTTTAATCATAGTCGCATCGGTTGCGAATAGGTCTCTTCTCCGATATACCCGAGGAGTCATAGTGCTTCCCATTTAATCTTTCCTTTTTTTCCCTCTCCGCTATCCATGTTGGCGTATCCACTGCCTCCTTGATTTCCCGAGCTTTCTCGCCTCTCCTTTTCTCTATAAAAGGCCTTTGCATTGCGAATCGATTGGCGGGGGCTTTAAGCCGTTTCTTGGCCACTGCGCATCCTATTTCTCTTTTTTTCGTCAGCAAATATGAAGACGCAGAAGTCACTGCGAACCAGTCCAAATTCTCCTCCTTTCTGCCCCAGGCGGCTTGTCCTTGTCTAGATTCCCAAGTATTCAAGCCCTGCATTTCTTTTATCTCGCAAGCTTCATCTTTTTCGGGTCTCTCTGAAATCTCGGGCTGTGTAATGTAAGGGATTAACGCCTTTGCAATCCATGCACATGGAAGTAAGAATTTATCCTTTATGTATGTATGTAGAGCTTTGATAATGCAGGTCAATCTCTTGGCTGGGGCCCATGCGGGGGCCCATTGCATCATAAATTTAGGATTAAGTATTTGTCACTTCTTTCCTACATATATGTAGGCCTAGAATATTCGAATGATATATCAAAGAGCAATGCAAGGTAAAAAAAACATGCAGGCAGTACTTCGTACCCGGATTATAGATATGTATACTACTATGTAAGTGAATAACAACTGTAAACCAGAACATGTAAAATAACTTCCACGTCTTTGCTCTCTTAGTCTAATCATATCTGTCTATAGATACCCCCTTGCTTCTTTTCGTGTTATTGAAATAGACTGGTGTCTCCAACTATGTATTTGCCCTGGGGCTTCGAGATTTCAGGCTTTCACTAAAACAAACACCTTACTACTTTACCTAAACCGACCACGGGACTCATCATGCAGTAGCTTCGTGAGTTTCTCCCCAATTACTCATCAATATGTGCCCCAGTCCTTACAGGAAGCGAAGCCAAGTTCATTGTCTGTATAGTTTCCACCGCCTTTGTTTCCGCCCTCGAAACAAAGAAGTTCAATCTTTTTATAGAACTGATTATCAAAACATCCCTTAGTCTGTCGACTACAGTTATATCCTGCCCTATCTCTCGAAATTATTTCGGATGCCTTTCTTATGCCTTGAATAATGTCACATACATCAGCATCCAAGTGCCTACTGTTCTGCCGGACATATACCTCCTGGGCTCTCTCGACGCGCCACACGGCCTCCACCGCGACTCCTTATCGATAAGCGCGTTACCGCCAGCTCAAAATGTATCTTTTCAGCTGGCTTTTTAAAACCCCCCTCTGCCCATGGTGACCATGGAAGAGGTACCACACCGGTCACCCGTGCCCCTTCAATGGGAGCTGGCTCGACAGACAGAAATTTTCCTCGAAGATAGCCTATGTATGTTCCCTATCTCCGTGCTTTAACGCGTGCGGGCAAACCTCAAAAGAGCCTCTGCTAATAATATACGTTTTCTCAACTAGGGCCCCAAGCATATAGCCTTCTCTACAATGTCCTTGCATCGGGCACTATCTCATCAACAAAGGCAGTGATTCCACTGCCCCAGCATCTGGCCGTCGCAGCTACCATGCTCGTGCACCCAAAAACAACGACGCGTGCCGAGTCCGAGTATGAAAAGGAAGCACCCAACGCAGCTTTGCGATTTCTTCGATTAACGAATTCCCTTGTTGGTCCCATGGATGCAAAGTTCAATCTTGCTTTCGGCTTCACCCACTTTGAATCTTCGCGACAGGGTAGGCGACGTGGGGAAAGCCCCATGGTCGTTGATAATGATAATCCTGATACCAGGCCTCTGAATACAAAATTCAACCAAGCTTCTTCGGTATGGAGCAGTGCAGAAGACTTTTGGCACGCCGTAGGCTGGGCATTTAATTGTTCAGTACTTCACCCGGCACGTTGGGAGCGCTGGCAGATATGGCTCCGGTTTATGTGCAACGTACTCGAAGACGACTGGAAAGAGCGTGAAAAAAAGTACCAAGAGGCAAAACAAAACCAAAGAGATACCTCGGTTTGGTCGGAGAGATCTGAGCTCTCGGGGAGATCGGAGGGGGAGGGCTCGCAGGGCGCTGAATCGGCCAAGAAAGGAAACCGCAGAAGCAGAAGACGTAAGGCGAAGGTAGTGGATGTGCATGATGACCTTGAAATCTTTCGAGAAAGCCTTATCTTCCGTTATATCGCATCGAACACCACAGCTGGACGAGACCGCAGAATTATGCGGGCAATCTTTGCCAATGGCAAATCAAATCTCGGCGAGTTCAAAGAGGTATTCCCCGATGAGCTGAAAATTATTGTTCCCGAACAAGACTCGCATAATGCCAAGAAGAGAACAGGCGGCATCAACATCGACAAGGATGACTATGGCGACTACCTGAACAATTCAGACGAGGATATAGAAGCTGACCAAAGCTCAGCCTCGGCATCACCTCCAAACAAGGGATCAAATGCTAGCAATCCACGACGCAGCAAGCGCACCCGACGAGGGACGCGAAATGCAATGGACGAAGCCACAGATCCCGTCAAGATGCCGAAAGCAAACCAAAAGCCCTCCCACGAAAGCAATCTATCCCCGCTAGGCGGCTACATCTCCCTTGCTCTCCGCCAACAACTCCTCAGCATCCTCTCCAGCGTCTCAGAGAAACTACCACGGGATTTCATGCCCTTAGACGACCTCTACGACATGTTCGTAGAGAACATCCGCGACCTCCCCCTCCCGATCTTCCAACACTTCATCAGCCCCTCCAACCTCCCGCACCTCCTACCCGAAGCAGACTCCACTCTCTGCGAACTCCTCCTCTTCGTCCTCCGCGAGAGCTCCGCCCCAAGCTCCGATGATAACTACCTTACCCAGGCCAAGCTGGAGAAATGCTTCCTCCCCTACGCGGCGGCTACCCCGAACGTCGGGAACAATGCCAAGGTCTCCCTTCTGCTCGAGGCGTTGATGGTACTCCTGCATAAGAGCAAGATGCTCTCTGTAACCCCGTCACTGGCAGAAGCTGTCCGGTCTGGGATTGCCCGTCGTGAGAAGGCTAGTCGTGACCGGGGCTCGGTTGAGTGGGCCTACTTGCGGGAGAGTGGGTTTAGAATGAAGTTTATGGTCGAGCATATCTTGCCATGAAGCCTTTTTGTGGGATCGGGAAAGGCTGGTGCTGTGATAATGACGTTCATGATGACAATGAGATTTGATGATTGGGTTCTGCGGTGTTTATGGATGTTTATGGAACATTTGAATGGAGCGTTTGAGTGACCTTTTGTCTTTCTTCGGTTTGAATATAATGGTTTCTATACGTACTTAGGGAACTATGGAGTACATGTGCTATCGATTAAATGCCAATTATTTTCACTCACCGTGGAAGGATTATGCCACGAATTGTTTTGTAGTGTCCTTTTAGACGTCTTAGGCGTATACGAAGACGGTGAAAAGCTTCAACTGTGCAGAAGAATTTTCTATGTGCAACCTTTGACTCCGGTGTTTTCTAGAATGTATTTAATGTTTTTATTATAAGATCTTGAGTATAACTGCTATCTACAACCACATCGTATCGAAAACAAAACAAACAATGATCTGGAGCGGGAATCATAGCACGCAAATAACAGAATAATCCACCAACGCAGAGATATATCTATGATGATATCCGCCCACATAGGCAGGGGAAAATAGAGGTAAAAAGAAATAGGAATGACGACAAGAAAACAGAAGGGGTAAGTCAATAGTTTACCGGGGCGGCCGGGGCCCAATAATCTGGCGCCTAGCACCGCCAACACCAAGGCCAACACCGCCACGGTTTTGATTGTCACCACCCATGTAGCCATACTGATGGACATCCCAAGACTGGCCTGGTCCCGAGCCCTGGGTGCCGTCTCGGCCGCCACGTTCAGCCGCAGCTGCCGTTTGCTTCTGGTTCTCTGCCCACTCCTCTTGGCGCGCGCGTTCACGCTCCATCTCTCGTTCCAAGAGAGACTTGGATGCCCAGCCGCCGGCTTTGGTCTTCTGCTGTGAAGCTGCGCGGCGGCTGTTCTCGGCGTCGACTTCGGAGGTTGACGTGTAGTCTTGGAATCGGTGGGCGGCTGGGGCTGGAGATACGGGTGCTGGGTTCGAGGAAAGGAAACTATCCACGCGGCTTTCGTGGACCCGATTGGCGTTGTAGGCTACTGGGTCGGGAAGGGGCCGGGGCGACGCAGGTAGGTCCCTAGGAGGGAGCGCCGGTGAGGCAGAGAAAGATGATGGCTTTGGCACTGGGAGAGGACGAGGGGGTTGGGGTGGTGCTCGCTCTTCAACGTGTTCGGGTTCCTCTGCCTCGGAAGTAGCGGGCATATCCTGCGTGTTCTGCCACTCCGTACGGAGGAGTCGCCGTTCTTGTTCGAGAGAAGAAAGATCGTAGCTAGGTTTCGGGGGCACGGGACGAGGGCGACTTTGACTGCGAGGCTGAGGCTGATCGCCGGTCTTTCCAGGCTGGACTTTGCGTTCGGTCTCGTACTGACGCTCCCGGTCCTTTGCTAGCTGTAGCTCGCGCTCGAGCTCTTTGATGCGGCGGCTTTGGGCTGTTTCTTCGACCGCCCCGGCGACATCACTAGCCTGGGAGTTGGAGGCCTGGTACTGACTCAGGAACTGGCCATTGAGGCGGTTATCATTCAAGGTTCGTCTCTGTTGCCGCTCCTGCTCAAACCGCTCCTCGGCCTGCTTTTCTTCCGCTACACGTCGCTGCTCTTCCGCTTCCCATTGGCGCTTTTCTTCGTCCCAACGCTTCTTTTCTGCTTCTACCTTGAGACGTTCTTGTTCCCTTGCACGCGCAGTCTCTTCTTCCCATCGGCGCTCCTCTTCTGCCTTGGCATGAGCCTCCTCTTGTGCAATCTGTCGCTGGCGCGCTCGCTCTGCCTCTTCCCTCTCTGCGTTCTGTTGACGAATCCGTTCGTCCTCTTCACGCCTGCGCTTCTCTTTCTCTGCAAGGCTTGGTACAGCAGGCCCGGGAGTGGTGATCTGTCGGCGAGCACCAAATGCAACCCCTTGATTCCCCTGGCTAGCTCCCCCAATGTAGCCATATTGGTGAATGTTCCACGCCGGCGTGGTATCCTGCTCATCTCCCTTCTTGGCCCAAGTACTGTAAGACCCAGAAGGCTTCGCATCCCCGACGTTGCTGGAGGAGCGGGCTGACCGTGGTGTATATGCTCCGGAGCCCGAGGAACCCGTCGCATTCGGGCTAACGACACCGCGCTTACTCTGTGGGCCGACAGTCCGGGGGAACTTGTTGGGCGCAAGCGCATTGGCCCGCCGACTGAACGCTGCCAAACACTGGAGAACCTGCGCCGGATCCTTTGCTTCGTAGAGATCAACTGTCAGGAAGACATCGTGCGGGGGAAGGTTGAGCGGTGGTAATTGGCATGCGCGTAAGAAATGCGAAATATTCTCCATCTGTACAAATGGCGCGGACAACTGCTTAAATTTCACGCCCGGTGACACAACGAGGTTTACCAGCCTTGTAATTCGAGGAGTTAGCCAGTGGTCCATGGATATGTACTCATTAATGGTACTTTGAAACATAAATGCACTTACTTGCAAAGAGCAACGCCATCCTTCAGGCCTTCGAGCAAGTCTGACGCTGGCAGTTTCTCATGCAGCACTTCCTCAATCCAGTCGCGCACCTCCGCGGCTGCCTGCGGGGTATAGCGGGATAGGCGCATATTGCGCAAATCCTTGTCCAACGAAGTCACTGAAGCCATGATGTGTCGAATGATCGATGCTCAGGTGTGTTGAAGTGTAGTTGGACTGTTGTTGCCACCTGGGTGGTATGTATCCCTTTGCGGGTGCCTGATCGGCCTTAACGGTGGCGGGGATTGGGTAGCAGAAGGAGGGTGTTCCGTGATACAATTAGAAATGACGGGATGAAAAAATAATTCAATTACTAGAAGTACTGGGGTTTTCTAGTAAAGTCGTGGACGTTCTTTTAAAGGAAAGGGAGAAAAAAGCCAACTAGGAGACGGAGAGAAGAGTGGAATGTCCGGGCTGTGTTTATCCCCGATGACGTTCCTGATGGTCCACAGGTCTATCGCATCGAATAGCGACCATCAGGGACTTTATTGCCAGGAAAATGGTATAATTATTATGCATTGAAAATTGGTTTATGGGAATTGATTTTAATTATCACATAAAGAAGTCTAGAGCCATCTAGAAATAGATGTAAATAAAATATATTGAAAGACTTCGTCGATGATATCGATTATAGAACAATTCTATGTTAGGTGAAGAGGCTGTATAAGCGGCCGAATATTCTACTTCTATACTCCGTATAAATACTACTAGAGAAGTATTACTATAAATTACCTATAACTAATGTTACTACTAGTATGCTAATAATATGGTAGTTTATACGCTAGTAGCGCTACTATTGAGGGTGAATTTCAATAGGATATACCTAGGTACTGTTGTAACTATATGGAGTCGTAAGCGGTGAACCCCAAACGCCAATAGGACCAAAGTCAATGGTTATGCATTGCGACAATGGTCCCGCGATCTTCTTTTTGCGACTCTTTCTATTCTACACACTCAACAATGGTTAACAGCTTATGGTTTAAATGGAAGAAGCTTCGCCTGCCCTGGCGCAAGTCCTTCTTGGTCGGTCAGTATCCGCTTGATGTTTTTCGTGTGGCGCCTCAGTACCGCTAACCGTGTCTTAGGTGAGGATCTCGCCGGCAATACCTTCTGGGAGTTCAAAGATGTGTTGAACGCAGCTCGCTTCCGACGCATTGTTCGGTTCGATCCCAAAACACATTTCAGTGATGTTCAAGTATCACGTGAGTTTTGTCGCAGGCCGCAGGGAGTATGCTGGCTCAGGCTTGAACCACATCTTCCGGGACAAAGCGGCATGAAACTATTAAATCATAACTAACATCTTATCTCAACACAGCGCAATGGCACCAATGGCTGCGACATGTCCGGGAACACCCCCCGAGTATTCAGGAGCAGCAGCAGGATCTTGTCCGCCAGGCACAAATCAAACAACTCGCTCGACTCGCCGATGAACGCTGGGCCAGCAAGGCCTCCTTCCTTGATAAGCCCAAGACTCAACAACAACCACCAACGACCCAAATAAATGAGGCGACTTTAAATACTCCTGCCAACGCTGCTCCCACACAACAAACCTCCCCCGAAACAGCCCCCGCAGCACCACAGACACAAAAGGTGGAGAACCCATGGATCAAGGCGAAAAAGGCCAACCCAGGCGAGGAGTGGCAACCCGAGGCGTGGTCTCCTAGTTCCAAGCGGTGAAATATGATATCGGGATATCTTGGTCATATCTTCGCTATGCCATATAAACTCGACTTTCAGAGATACGTGCTGGAAGGCAGACACCCTACACCATTGGTAAATTCATCAGCAGAAATATCCTGCAATGAACCTGGGTCATAGATGACGTTGAGGATATGTCATGCCAAAGAGTCTCTGCTCTGAACTTCACCCGCGCTCCTTGTTCTACGAGGATAAGGTTATTATGCACTGTGGTCAACCCCATAGGTCATAGCAGGTATGGCCAAGATGTCTCGAAGGGTTCAAAAATAATCAGAGCCATATAGATTGGCACTTGTATATTATGTTTCTTTGACATCCAGCGTTTCCACTCACTCTTACCATTGATCAAAATATTCTCGGTTCTTACAATGATACAACAGCGCTAATTGGCGGTAAATCGGCTGCTGAAAATAGCTACACTGAGCGCCGATTTAAGCTCTTTTTTACTAAAAAATCTTGTCCTTACAACATCACCAATTCAAGACATGATTTGCCTTTTTCTTCTTCATCTTCGAGACACAAGTCGTGATCTCGTGAACATTCTAATTTATTGAATTCTCGGTAGGATCAGGTAGTGATTATGAGACGCTCTTTAGGCCGTATCATTTGGCACTCGTGAATCTTTGACAGAAGGTATGTAATAGATACATATGTAGTAAGGGTTATACTTTCACAGGGTGTGCCAGTTCTTCCGCAGAATAGTAATACACTATAGATTACTACCCTTCGATATATACCGATATGATGAAACGATACTTAAAGAACTAAGCGAGGTAGTGCTATTAATATTCCGTAAGGATTTTTTACTATAGATGCATTACTTATGGATCGTGGGGCATTGGCGTTCCTAAAGGAAGGCGCCGAATGTCAATTCCTGGGGCAGAATCTGGCTCTGCACTTCTGGTGGTGTTCATGGTAGCGCTCTTGAGCTGGAATTTAATCAAAACCATGAAGGAGTAGTGAAGATGCTTCAAGGGGCCACTTGTGACCTGTTGCCTAAGGCTTCCTTTGGTTCATATAATCTACGATCTATCACTTCAACCCGTTGAAAGCCGATCATTATAAGCCAAGGAACCATTACAATATGGCGAGTTATATTATTCACATTAGACGGACAAGATCGGTCATAGAGAGTGCTTTATAAGTGGCTTCTACCCGTCCATGGGTAATCTATATGACTTCCTAAGTACTGTAGAGTGAAAAGTCATTACATTAACAATGAGTCTATTAGTAGTGACTACATATGCACATAGAAGGGTTTTTTTTTTTATATTTCTCAATTTTCATACTCTAGCATAAAACATCCCCTTTTTTTGGATTTTCTGTATTTTCCATGCTGCAGCGCAAGGTCATTCAAAGATAAACAAAGATAAATGCAAATAAATATCTCGTCCCTTTTTTTGTGTTTTTTAATTGTTCACAGTTGTTGCAGCATAGGCACATCTCAAACTTGCAAGAAATGCAAGGATATTGCACCCTTTTTTTGTCGTTTTGGGTTTTTTTATAGCTCTGGCATCATGAGCAATCTTTCAGCTCAGAACAAGTCAATGCAAACACCAAAGATCAAAAACAATCTGGAAAAACAAAAACGCGTAGCAAATGGGTATCGAATATCAAACTCCAGACTCCGAGAAAAATCATCTAATATCATCAAACAGAAAATAACAATGGTCAAATTAAATGTAGACCATGCTGTTCTGGCATGCACTGGACAGATTCAAGGTAGCACCTTTTAGTCTATCCTCGCTTTGAGTCATATGATTTCTCTCATTGTAGTAAGCCAACAGGTACTTTCGGCCACGATCACAGAACTTATCGGCCAAGAAGGCAGGAGTGCTGTAACTGATCGAGCGAGTAGCCCGGCCCATCAGGTAACAGATGTTGTGGGTAAGTTCTTGCAGCACGTCAGCGGGCTTGCGGTCCGTATTGACCTTCGGGTTAGTGAAAATCTCGTCGTGAATGACAATGTAGTGGGCTGGACGAGCGGAACCCTGGAGAGGAGCCTGGGCTTGCAGATAGAAGTCCCAGTAGATAGGACGGGTAACTCCACGGTCAACGACACATCCGTTGAGTGGGTTGGATGTTCGATCTTGGTCCCTCGAATTGGTAGGGTAGAAGCGTACATTATGGCGCTTTCCACAGACAACGATGGTGATGTTGGGCAAGGCTCCACGGTATACCGCTTTGGCAGCAGCTTGAATCTTTGGAAGCTCCTCTGTAAGGACCATTTTGAATTGACCATCGCTAACACCGTCGCGGTACACGAGAATATTCTGGGGCAAGTTGCCATTATTGCTCTTTTGCCACAACCCCAGCCGGGTAAGCATCATCTCCTTGAGGAATTCAACGTGCTCTTGGCGGCGCGTCTGGGCTCGAACCTCACCGGGCCATTGCCCTATGCGATAATCAGTGGAGGCAACGATGGCAGCAACACTGGGGAAGATTTCGGGGTCTGAGCTGGACGGATGAGTGACATCCAAGCCAACGACCATGGTGTTCTTTGCTGCGCCAAGGAAGCGTGTGTTAGCTGGCTGCAGGAGTTGATTCCATCCTCCCATCTTGAGATTGACCTTCATGGCATTGTTGCTCAAATACTGCTCATTGGCACCTGCAAACTTATTGCTCAGCATGCAGTGCGTAAGGACTCCAGTCTTCAGATCTCCGGCATACTTGACGTAATCAAAGATTTTCGTTTCCGTGGTGGGAAGCAAAACAACCAAGAAGGGAAACTCATTCATCGTGACCTTTTTGACCGCCCCCTGATCATGTCTTGATTTGCTGTATCATCCGGACCGAGCATGACTGTAATATACGGCTTAGAGGGTGCCGGCAGTGACAGGCCATGATCGCGCAATTTTCTGTAAAATGCGTCCATCTCAGGCTCAGGATCTTTGAGTTTTTCTTCGTTGGGGTCGATACCGCGTTTCCGAAGCCAAAGACATGTCCATTTTTTGATATTAGCGCCCTGGGAGAATTTGGTGCCGATCAAATTCCACGAGCCATTTCGAGGGTTAGTGGTCTTTTTGCCCCCATAAAGCAGATTCGGAGGGTTCAAAATGCGTGCAGGTACAGTGATCATCTCTTTTCCGGGCTTGATTCCTACCGCCTTTGTATGTCCTTCAGAGATCCCCAGGATTTCCAATCCTTCGGTCATAATGGAGGCATAGTTCTGAGGAGGCCGCCGGCAACTGAACTTGATCATGTTCTGTCGTTGACCCGTGGATAGGTCTGGCTTGAAGGGTTGCCCGGGAAGGATTTCGCAAAGCTCCGCAGGAAGGTAAACTGGACGATCATAGTTTCCAACGTTCACGATGGGAATATTACTGTGGTACTCGAGTCGCTTATTGTAAGCTGTTATTGCTTGTTAGCACAATGCATTTCAAATATCGACTGATAGGCAGCAAACATACTTTTATAAAAGTATTCGGTAACAGTAACATATTTTCCCTTCTTCTCATCTCCCATCCAGAACTCCACGTTGTCGGCACTGGATCCAATTCGTTGAACCCGTGGGGGGTTTGGGCCATTGCGTCCATCCCTAGGAGAGGCAACTCCGAAGATTGTTCTCACGGGTTTTTCCTTCACCCCAAGCCCGTTCTCTCGAACATCTAGATGTAAGGCGTAAACTTTCAATCCCTTCAGCCACCGGTTTAGAAATTCCCGGCTTTCGCCGTAAGTGGTGCGAAAGGCAATGATTACATCAGCCAACGAAACTGGGCTGAAGAATGCACCGTGACTAACATTCAGATTGAGGAAAATTCGTCCAGCACCAAGACGCACACTTGAGTAGTAACCACGAGCGGCTTCGGCGCCACAGTCAATCCTCGCGGACTGCTTTCGCCTATCCATCCGGAAGAACTTGTTTCGTCCCTTGCCAATGATGACAATGCCGGTATCTTTGTAGGGATAAGCACTCATGAGGATATTCAGTACTCGGAGACAGGGTGCTTCATTCTCAAGCTCCTTTCGGTGATTGACGTCCTCAAGACACGCCATCATGTCAGCGGGGGAATAAGAGCTTTCAAGGGTTAAAGTGACCTCCCAAGGGCCGGTGTAGGCTTTCGATTTCCCACTTCCATGGCCACTTCCATGGCCACTTCCATGATCACTTCCGTTGCCCATGGAACAAATGAATGGCGCTCGATTTTCAGGAAATAGCTCAGTTGTAACAATTTCGGTGGCCCCATCAGTAGCAACGCCGATTCCTTTGTTGAAGAGAGGGTACTTGCGGAACATGCTCTGAAGAATGAAAATTTGCTGCGCTTTCTTCGCCTCGGGCTTGATCTTGAGGCGATAAGAATGAAACTTGATGTTCGGCTTGAACTCCATAGGGAAGAAGTTGGCACGAAGCACAGTCGAACGACCTTGGGTACCGTAGCCAGGACGCCGAGCCAAAGTGCCGGGCTCTGGTCGAGCCTTTGCGGACTCTGCAACATACCGGTCTTCCAGGGCCTGCACTCGAGTGCTAGGGGGCTCGACCGGGTCTGTCAACATTCTGTGCGCATGTTAGATATATTTTCTCTATGATTTGGAACAAATGAACTTACCCGGAGGGTGGTTCGGGTCCGCCACGACCTCCACGACTGCTACCACGGTCACTTCCACGCCCACGATCACCGCTGTAACCGCGGTCACTTCCATGGCTACTGGAGCCACCATCGCCGCGGCCACGATAGCGGCCACGATCACCACCGCCACGGCCGCCTCGAATGGGCAGATCACCGTGCGCACGTCCGGACATTTTAATGAATGCCGGTATAAAAAAAAGGTAATCGAAAAGTAGAAAAAAATGTAGTGGGAGGGTGGACTTTGCTCGTGTTCGAGAAAGTATGGAAGATGACGACAAGGACTCGAAAACTAGTTGATTGGGAGTTTTGGAGAGGTTCAAACACAACAGGAATAACTGAAGAACAAATCTCAGAATAGGACAAGCGCTATCTTGTCGCGCTATCTTGTCCACCGCAGATTTCCTTTTTCAAAAAAGGAAGAAAAAGAGTTGAAGTGTGCTTCGTTGATCTGTAAAATGAGTCAGTAACAATGAAACGTTAGGCTACTGAGATGCATGAAGATAGCGATATGAAGACGGACCGATGAAGCAGAGCAATGGGCAGTGTAGGGCACGCAATGCGATAAGGCAAGTAGTCCAATCCACAGCCAAGAGCGATGCCAATGAGAATATCAATGCAATGGCAATGGAGATGGTGCTGCAATGAAGATGTAGGATAGAACGCAGTGATAGAATATCTCATGCGAGTAGGGATGTGAAAAGAGATGGATGATGGTGCAAAGGAAAGTCTTCAAGGGAAGAGAAATGGAAATCAAGGTAGGCCAGGAAAAGGCAAAACGTGCAACAGCAAATGAGAATATCAGAATGGACTAAGAGTAGCAAATGGAGGCTGAGGGGCACGCAAAATACATGATCTCAATGGGATTGCAAGTAGAAGAATGGTGTAGTGCAGGTTAAGGCTTAGGGTAAAAGATGTGCAGCAATCAATGGGCAGCAAGTAAGATACCGTGAAAGTGGCTAGTGAGAGCAAATGAAAAGGCAAGTGAGAGATTTGTGAATACCAAAGTAAGGAAATGCATATGCAATGACAGTGAAAGATGCAGAGTGTGCTCAATCTGCCTATTTCATACTTCTGGCATGCAATTGAAAGGTATGAGGGGTAATCCAGCGCAAGGAAGCAAAATTCTATACTCACCAAAGCTATTTTGATGTATCGTGGAGAGGGAAGAAGAAGGAAGAAGAAGGAAGTGATCGAGATGGTATTTATAGTCGACACCAGAGCATGAAGCGCGCGTTGGTAGACTTCAATGTCATACATAGAATGTGGGGCTTGGTGTATATGGGACTGTGTATAGATGGCCCAGTATGGAGGATTCAAGAGTAAAAATAAAAAAAAAGGTTAGCCACTGAAAGTCATAGTAGTAATGACGGTAGCAAGACGGATAAAAAGTGATGAGGCTCACCAGTTTGGCAAAGAAAGACGTATACCTCAAAAACGTCTAAAGCCCGAAAAAAGAAACAAAGAAAATTTACAGCGGAAGCTGGATAGTCACAAAGTATTATGAATTAGATATCCACAGAAGAGTCTAGATATTAGAATAGTCTAACATTTTGAGGGTGTAATCACCCGGGCCCAAGCCTGAAAGCAAAACCGTAAACTCCAAAAGCAAACCAGATATTCCCAATGATATAACCCTAAAACACCGGCTGAAAGAAACAGAGACAAAAAAAAAAGCAGAAGTAAAAACAAAACAAACAAAACAAAAACAAGCTTAGCAGAGAACAGCCTCGAGAGCTTCAACGTCGCCACCAGCGCTGCGCACAGCCCTCAATGCGGCTTCGCTGAGCTTGCGACGTCTATCGCGGGCTTCTTGCTCGCGGCGAGCCTTGGTCTTAGAGCTGCCGGAGGGAGCAACTCCGGTCAGGATCTTCTTGCTGTCGTGAGCGGTAAAGTTGACGAACGATACGCTGACAGACTTGTTTGAGCCTCGGGACGAGGAGCCAGATGCCTTGGCGGGCTTGGGAGCATTCATGCTCTGGCCGGAGAGCTTGCGGCTGTGTGTGCGCCGATGGGTGGGCTTAGAGATGGATCCATTGTGGATGTCCCTGGGTGATGTGCCGGCCTTGGGAGAGAGAGATGGTGAACGGGAGACGTTGTGGATTTGGGAGGTGGTGAAGGAGGTGTCGAATTTTTGAGGGGTTGCGGGGAGCATATTAGAGGAAGAGAATGAGTGATCCGCCGACATGTCATAGGAGGGATTGAATTGGATCATTAGTCCTCCTTGCATGATGTCATTTTGGTTTCCAACGTTTTGTGTGGTGCGGACAGGTGTGGGAGATGCGAGGTAAGAGGCCTGTTGTTGAGCGACCCGAGAAGGCATGGGGGACCACCATTGAGAATCTTGGCCTTGGAGGTCTGGAGTGAAAGAGAGAGATGAGGCATGAAGAGGGTCGGATTGCCAAGAAGAGAGTGAGTGGGGGTCAGATGAGTGAGACGAAGAGAACAAATCATCTGCAGAAGAAGGACTAGAGCTGGTCAAGGTGGAAGAACTTGGGTGAGCAATGTAGTGCTGTTGCTGGCGTGCTGACATTGCGATGTTCGGCGATGGCATTGAAACGGAGGGAGACTGGTGATATAGTCTTGCGTCGTACTGAGGAGGCATCTCTGCTGAGTCTCTAGGTTGGTTCATGATGTGTTCGGTGGGCATATTTTCATGCTGAATGAGGACATCCGATGGAGGAGGCGACAGTGGCAGACGATCTTCGGAGCTGTGAAGGCTGAAGTTCTGAATTTGCTGGGCCCAAGCCTCGGGATATGCCATTCTTGATTTGGATAGGTTGGAAGAGCGCATTAAGCTGGGGGAGAAACTTTGCTTGCGCAAATGAGAGCGACGTTCATTCGGGCTGCGATGGCGGATAGATTTGGGAGTGATGAGAGCACTCTGGGTGGGCTTCCGTCTAGGGGTAGCGGGAGGAGTGGATGGCGAGGTAGACAGGGTGTGGGTTGCTGTAGGGCGAGAGGGAACTTCAAAGTTGTTCAGGTTGACATCTGAGATTGCAGAGGGGTGGACGGTGTCATGGAAAGCAAAATGATCGACAGCGGCCCCGTCATTCTGCAGGGACCAGTCATTACTCCAGGGTTGCGGTGATTGATGGCGTTTGGGAGTGGAGACAGTGGGTGGTAGATCGCCACAGTCACTCGATAGCGAGTCAAGTGGGAAAAGCTGATCAAAATCGGACAACGCCGAATCTTTTCCATCAGCGGCACTGGTCTCCATGTTGACGTATTGGTTGAACAAGTCATTGAACGAATGGTCGTATGGTTGGGCGAACATCTTGTCGGGATTTCCGTTTGCAGCGACAAAGTAAAAGTACGAGGCGATTGTGTAGTCAGCGACTTAAGATCCAAATACTTGGATGTAATTGGACAACCAAAGATATGGTCTTGGAATAGAGCTTGGGAAGGTTTGGGAATAGTTCGGGGGGATCGACCCGGATATCCGAGAAGATGCAAAGGATGCAAATAAAGAAGAGAGTGTTTGAATGTTTGAATGTTTGATAGATTGTCAATCAAAGAAAACACTGCAGATGATGCAAAGAAAGCAAAGCAAACAAACAGATGCAAGCCCTATTTGAATGGCTGCCAGGGACACCAGCCTCGGAATTTCTCGACACATTCCAAGTGCTCTAAAGATGGACAAGGAATGTGCTATAGAGGGCCCGGTTGGCTCCTGGCCGGCCCCACCAGCCACCCGGAAGAATGATTCAAGACTCTCCAAGCCAATCGTAGTTGTGGAAATCTAAATGGCTGGCGAAGCTGTCAATCTTCGCCAACTCCCACAGAGGTTTCGTTACGGGTAGCCACCCGCGGGAATGCAACCCTCCTCCACTAAGCCAGAAGCAGTGGAACAGTCATCAAATTAGCTAGTGAGCGGGCCTGGGGAAGACTTAGGCATGTTGAGCCGATACCTTTAATTGGAGATTGGCGTAACTCGTATGGAGCAAGAGCACGGCCGTTAGGAAAGGAAATGGGTCGGAACGCTCTCCGAGCCGTTCAGAATTGTCCAAGGGACCAGGACCAGCCATACAGTTGAAACAGAAGCATGATCGCCTACCAGTTCCAAGGTAGGTACTTGCAGTGTAAGCGTCATGATACCTTGTTATCCCATCATCAACCGCCCGAAGAAGAAGAGTCGACTTGGGTGACAGTATGATCGGCCGCGCACTCTAGCTACATACTTCTTTCATTTGCTTCATCATGATTAGCCAATCGATCCAATTGGAGTGGGGGTAATGTTGTCAATGGGTCAATGTCCCGTTGGTTATAGACGGTCCGGAATGTGGGTTGGAACGTAGAGGCTGGGCGGAATGTCACCCCTTCCCCCCGAACAATGCACAGAAGAGTTTTGGGTATTCGAGAAGGACAAAGGACAGATTTGCTTGGGAAGCCCCAGTATGTATGTGTACTTCAGTGGTTGAGTGGTCGAGAAACCTGGACCTGCAGGAGATCGCCGTTCTGGGCCCATATTCGGGAGTGTTTGCTTCGACCCCATGTTCTATATTTGGGCTGCATGAAGTTGATCAAGATAAGGCCATGTTTGAATGCGGTAAAGAACAAGCCTTCATCTCGGTATGAGATAAGGATCTGATGCCTTCTTTCCCTTTTGGAATAACCCAACTGCCATCTAGTTGTCAAAGGTGCAGTGTCCTCCCATGGGGGTGGAGCTTGCAGATATTTCTTGCATCTCAAATTATATGATTAGCTAATCTTGTTTAGGCGATTTTTGAATCTGCCAATGGTTTGTAATGCGTTGGCAGCATGTCAATGTGTGCTGCCTCCTTTGGCATCTATGTGGTGTTTGGGTTCAGTTCAGGTATCACAATCAAAGCGGCTAATACCCAAACAACAAACATAGATTCGGCCGAGACTGTAACCTGGATTGAAAGTCATCCGGTGAATTTGAGACCGAGATTTGGTATACCTGAAGTTCCCCAAGGCTCTGAATCAGGCTGGCAGACATGCAACCTGTCAGGCAATTGTGGCCTGTTTCTTCAAACGGAGTCTAAGGCCCCAATGCAGAATCCAGCTAGATCGCCGGCCTAAGTGTAATTTTCAAAGAGAGACAAACAGAACGGGGGTGGGCATTGGAAGAGTCGTAAAAACAATACATCTAAGTGAGATTTTAGTGATGCGGCAATAGCGGGTGGCCCCGTTCAACCTTCAATGTTAAGGT